GACACAACTTTTATATCTGATTTACTGGTAGTCTCGAAAGCCTACTTAATGACGAAAAAGGTTTTTGATAAAATGATTTTTTTAAGGATTAATAGCCCCTTTTTCATCTTCACATGGTTGCTACTGGTGGTTTAATCGCGGGTCCGGATACCCCGTTGGCCCATGCTACCGGTTCCGGAAGTGAAAGCATCCAGTCAGCTCGCTCTTTTCAGCCACATGCTGGCCGGTTCTTCTTAATTTGTACATGCACTGAAAGCTCTCCGTCCACGGTCTCATCACCACAACTTGCCCCTCCCCCCTGCCGCCCCTCTGTCCATGTCGTCCGGCTACGGCCTGCAACTCGACTATCGTCCTCGCTCCATCTTCCACGCCAGATCGACTTTGCGGCCAAATCTCCGCCTCCGGCTACACAGAATCGCGCTTTCACAGAGCCTGCCAACGCGCTGACAACGCGGTCCGGAGGACCGTTCGGCCCAGCCCCCGTCTGGCCGACTCTGTCGCTCCCAGCGCCGTCCCAGGCCGTGGCTCGACGGGACTCGGACTGCCCTTCTCGAGGAGGCGTCTTCACTCCGAGGGCCGGTGGGCAGGAGACGAGAATGGAGCCGGCCAGTCGCCAGGCAACGGCGACCAATTGGTGAGACTGCTCTCGTCTTTGGCTCAGCTCGCTTTCGTCTCGTCTGAGCTTGTCCGATGAAGGGTTTCGTGCTCTCGTTTCGTCACAACTCGAGCCCGACTCCTCGTGGGTCTGCCACACTTTGGGCGACGCGGTGCACAACACCCCCTCTTTCGCTAGTCGTCACGAGGGGGTGTTTCGTGGCTATCTCTGCATCTTGACTAAGCACCCAAGTCACCCTCGGCCGAGTGGAGTGGTGAAGGAGTGATGATAGGCCCCAAGATGATAATGAATTTTGTTTTGCCTCGTCTCCAATGGCAGTATGTCGTAGAGGTAACAATTAGGGTTAGATTCCAGTCGGACGCGATGATGAAACTTAGTCTGGAGGAGAATTACATCTATAGAAGTTGTTTGATCTTGTTTTCGCAGCTCGGTCATGTTGGTAGGACGACTTAGAGAAATAAATTTAGTCCGGAGTCCATTGTATGCATCATCATTTCCAGAGTAGGACCGTGGACGTGGTACATTCCCAAAATTTGGAAATGATCATGCAGACAATCGACTCCGGACTAGGCGCGTTCCTCTAAGTCTTCCCACAACTGCCATACAACCAAATGAGACTGCGACCACACAAAAGGCCACACCATCTTGGCCTTCATATCTTCGAA